AGATCCAACCAGTCCATCCTAAAGGAGATCAGTCCTGGGTGTTCATTGGAAGGACTGATGCTGAAGCTGAAACTCCAATACTTTGGCCACCTCATGCGAAGAGTTGACTCATTGGAAAAGACCCTAATGCTGGAAAAGACTGAGGAGGGCAGGAGGAGAAGGGGACGACAGAAGATGAGATGGTTGGATGGCATCACCGACTCAATGGACATGAGTTTGAGTAAATTCCAGGAGTCGTTGATGGACAGGGAGGCCTGGCATGCTGTGGTTCATGAGGTCGCAAAGAGTCGGACACGGTTGAGCAACTGAACTGAACTGAACTGATCCTATTCCACATCCTCCCCCTCAGCATTTCAATAAAACTCCATGGGAAAGGGATGTCATTTTTCAACTGCATCTTTATTGCCTATGAAGTAGTCAACCAACATCTGTTGAATAAATCTATTATAGCAATTCTTAAATCAAAGATGCATACTAATCTCCTCCCATCCATGTGTGGATTATTCTGTTGAATATTTCTGGTTTTGAAGCCTCATATTTAGTTGATTCTTCCACTTCGCAGGTGAGGAGACTGAAGTCTGCTGCCAGCCTTGGCTTTTGTTTTTTAAAGTAGCTTTCACATCCTTGGAGTCTTTAAACATGAGCCACAGTTTCCCAGGAATACACTCTCTCTGCCCCAACTTGCTTTTAACTTGATTATGCTTTAAATCTATATCTAAACAGATCTAGATTCCTACTCAGGGACCATTAAAGCCATCTATGATAATTCTAAAATTGATGTGGGTACAAGTTCTCTTTGTTCTTAAGAATGTAATGTCACCTATAAACTTTGCCTATATATCATTATATCATTAAACAACTTAGAATAGTTGTTGTTAAAATCAAGCTCCCCTAACCCTTCTACTTCCCAAAGTAGCACACACTAATAGGAAAATAAGACTGATATTAAGTTTAAATCTCAACCCCAGTCTGTGTTTTCATGAATACAAACACAACTCCAAAAGGAAGAAAAAATTACAACATTCTATTATTCTTTACATCATTTTATATGCAAATTTCTGATCAATAACTGCATCTCACATTGGGAATTTATCCCAGGCAACTATTGCTGTAAGGGATACAGTAAATCTCCAACCAAAATATGATGGAGAGGAAGTATGGTATGTTAAACAACTAGAGACAAGATGGGAGCACAAAACTCACTTGGCCCAAACTCACAACCAAGCATGCCAAGGTCCAAGTGGCATCCAGCCATCCCTTGTTTAGAAAACTAAGTTTAATTGAATCAGTTAAACAACTACATTTTATGGCGATGTATTTTTTCAGTGAAGGATGGAGAGCTTAGTTCAAGATAATTGAGTTGCTAAAATATCTGCCTTATAATATTTAGAATTTTAAGGTAATCTTCGTTACTAATTTCCATATAATTGTCTCATATCCAAATTAAACCTGCAACATTTTCTATCCCCTGGGTCACTGACTGATTCAAGCTACAGATGAATATTCCTTTTCTCTCCTCTTCAGTTTATTCTGTCCATTTTTCAGGGTGTAATGAATGTCCTCACAAGTCACGATAGAAATGTCACAATAACTGTGGAGAAAATGTGGGTTTCCATAAACCACCAAATTGTGTTCTTGATTCAGAAATCTCAGGAGGCCTGTGTCTTCAAAGTAGATTTGTACTCCACATATAACTCTTATTTGTACATATTTGATTGTGATCTCATTCTCTATAAAATAAAATATTTCATTGGTTCTGATTTCCTTCCAATGTTTTTGTCCCATTTTGTTAACATTCTTGGTTTCTGCTTCATAGCCTTCAGGGATATCCAAACTAGAAAAATGCTTTGCTTGCACTTCATAGATGGGAAGGGAATGAAATTGCTTTCTGGTTCTGAAAACCCATTTTAAGAAAGGAAATACAAATTTCCCCAAAAGTTAATTGAATACATTGCCAAGTTTGGCTTGTGCTTTGGGTTTAGTGAACAGAACTGTACATAATAATACTGAAGGATACTCATACAAAGTCATGCAAATGAAAACAGCTTTGCTAAATTTATCATAGGCTGCTACAGGCTGAGACACTTTGCACCACTTCAAAGAAATTCACAAGTGCTAATACAAGCTAAGAATTTTTGTTAATTTTTATTGGGCCTTTTGGGGAAAACAACCTTCTAATAAAAAGATACATTAGTTCTCAAAATAAAAATCAATCTTAATTGAAAAGAATCATTAAACTTTTCCCTCTTGTGGGACCAACTATCAGCCAGAAATTTTAAATTTGATAAAAAATTTTATTTAGTTTTGACCAATCTTCTTCCTCTCTTATTGCCTCTCCAGAGGTGTTTAGGCTTCAAAAAGTCACACAGGTAGACTTTTTCTTTAGATTTTGGTTTTACCAATTAGAGAATTTTGACTTCTAATGAGTATAACACTTCGAAGTTTCATTTTTTAATCTCTCAAAAGGGAACCCTAGTACACTGTTAGTGGAAATGTAAATTCGTACAGCTCCTATGGAAAACAGTATGATGTCTTCTCAAAAAAATTAAAAATAGAACTACCATATGACCCAGTAAGTTCACTCCTGCGTATTAATCCCTCAAAAATTAAAATGCTAATTCCAGAAGTCACATGTACCAGAATGTTCATAGCAACATTGTTTGCAATACCCAAGATATGGATACTATTCGGCCATAAAAAAGAATGAAATTTTGCTATTTGCAACAACATGGATGGATGTGGAGGTTATTATGTTAAGTGACATAAGTCATACAAAGAAAGACAAATACTATATTATATATTATATCATATATATGTGAGGTCTAAAAAGTAAAATTACAAATATAACAAAATAGAGGAAAACATTTTTGAGAACACAGGAATAAAATGATTTAAGTGGTGAGCCAGGGTCCCAAGACAGAAGTGGCTCTTACAATAATATTGCTTCTGATTATTTTCAAATATACTGCAGAATTGTTCATAATTTATTAAAGGGATTTATAACTGCTTGGGGGAATTGAGCTGAATGGATGGAAATATTTTAAAATAAACTAAAAAACGTATCATTCCTTTACTCCAGATGACTAGCCCTCATTAATAGCAGGTATTTTTATAAGTTTTATAAATTTTGGAATCATCTTTATTTGTAAATTGCAAAAGGATATATGATTTTGTTATGTTGTTTATATTTGTTTTATCTGATTAACA